CGTTACCAAGTTTGCCTCTGTGCGAACAGGAAAGCGTACTGTTGATGGATTTGCAAGAGGGAATGGGGATTTTGGAAATGTATGCATCGGGGAGCCCGCTTGCTGGTGCGTATACTGTACTCCCGCGTAATCTGTGATCCCACTGAGGTTATTTGTAGAGCACCAGTTGAATGGAATTCAACAGCGGCACAATTCGCATTATGCGAGTTATGACTGTTATGACCCTATGCGATAATTTTTCGCGAAGAAATTGTACACCGACTTTGGCTGATTTACTTGATTGTCCGTTCTGTACTGTACTTGACCTAATTTCACAAATTATGGGTGTTGCTGTGAATTGCTATTGCCACCGTATGGACGGGAAACTCATAACGCGAGTAGATTCGCGTGGCATCTTCGACTTTTTTTTTCCGTTCACTTTGGAATCCTTGAAATTTCACAAGTCCTTTCTCATAGGACCAGACTCCTAGTACTGATATTGTCATTGCCTGGTTCTAAGAGCACGTTCAGTTTTGATTAGCTCGGCGCAAAAGCCTAGTTCGACATAAGTTGGATGCATTCCTGTTATTCTCTACGACATACATCGAAGTCGCCCTTGAGCTCACGCCCCAAAGAAATCAGCTACATACTTCGTATCAACAAACTCCTTCATATGAACAATCCCCACCCCCGAAAAACGAAGTGTTATCATATATTCGTTATTGTATCTTTTTCCCGATTTCGACATCCCATCTGACTTGAGCTGTAGAATCAATGCATATTTCAGGCTCAAGCGAGGATAGCGGCATGTAACAGCGCACGTGGAATACCACCGCGTTATGGCCTTGAATTATATCCAATGGCGGTAGAAACTGAGCGAGTTCAAGTTTCAATCAGATAATTTTCAGAAATTTACATGGAATCAAGATGGAACAAACCTGCATCCCGTCAATAACATTCTCCCAAGCGTTCTTGAATAGCTGCACAGTCTCGTCCTTATTTCGTTTGAATTTTCCTTCAGGTGGATTCAACGATGAAGGGAAATATTCGTGAGTGAAGTCCGCCGTCAAGAGGTCTGCCATCCCGTGGAAATTGTAAGCGTTCAAGCACGAGAAAAATGCTTGGGCATTCTCGAGTTGTTTTGCTTGGAGGGATTCAGCGGCCATGCTAACTATCTGTGTCAATGAGTAGAGAAGGATGCACGTTTTATGCTCTGCCGGCGTTGATTCAATAGTCCACAAGATTTTGCTGAGTAAATGGACGGGAGGAAGGAGATTGCGTGTCGAAGCGGCATCGATTAGGATGGGGATCCGAATTCTACCTTTCCAAGATCGAGGCCAACAGCCCACGCCGATACATAGCTTTACGGTACTTATTTTGAATCCAAGCTGGAAAAATCATTATCCTTGCGAGAGTAACCAAACGACCAACATCGAGTATCTTCCGCCACTCAAGGGGAGCGACGTTTAGGACCAGTAAACGGTCAAAGAATTGCCAGTCAACGTTGCCATCGGCGCATCCTGGGCGTTGGGCAACACGAGTGTCACAGCGTGACGTGTGACTCTGACTTGTAGCAGGCGCTGGCGAGCGGGTTGTTGACGCGGCGGCATTCTCAAAGCCATTACTAGTACTACTGTGACGGCGGCTCCTCCAACCCTAACGCCTTCAAGTCGTACCCCTTGCGTTTCGCGACCTCCCGCATGCGATTCATCCGTTCCGTCCTTGCTGGCTCTTTACATGGCATTCCTCAATCCCACTCCGAAGCAACGCATGAAACAACCATGACGAACCTTCTTGAGCGGCCCTGACCTTCGCCCACTGTTCCTCTTCGTACTCCCGTAGCGCCTTTCCCTTCAGAAGCTTTATCTTCGTCATGCCTTTCTCGTCTTTGACGGGGACGAGGACGCCCCTGTTCTTCCAAGATGACGGGATTGAGCGACGTTGAGGCTTTTTGGTGTTGGTGGCTTTTGTCATTCGGGGGTGGGAGGGGGTGAAGAAGAGGAGATTGAGGATGAGGTGGTGGTTGGTAGATGAAGACACGCGGATACGTAAATGACTCGCGACGGCCGTCGGCCAACCGTCGGCGACGATGATGAACTAGCCTCACCACGTTCTCTCATCGCCGACACTCACGACGTCCTCTCTACTTCAGCTAGACGCCGTGAAACCACCACCGCCTTATTCCCTGCTCCATCTTCTGCTGCCATCCTCTCCACGCTCCCATCTCTCCTCCCCCTCACGACGTCCTGAGGCGTCGTTTGTTTGCGGTATTCCGCTTCGAGGATGAGGACGAGGTAGTGGTTGGCAGACGAAGACACGGGGCCTACGTAGATAACTAGCGACGGCGAGGGAGAAGACGGCGCCAAGGGTCTACATACCCTTTTCATGTCTTCGACCACGGTGAGTCGCGTCGCACACATATATTTATCTATTCTGACGTCTTGTCTCTACAAGAATCATTCACGGACAGGACGATGCCGCATCTCGTCCAAGGAAAGTCACCCCGTCCTGTATATTCTTCTGTCCTTCTCAGCCAACCGCTGTGAATCCCCTCCGCCGCCCTCTTCTCTCCTTTCCTCCATCTTCGGCTGTCGCATCCTCTTCATCCCCGATGCCTAGCATCCCTACCCGATTCTCCCGCCCTCCTCGCACCATCTTGGTGAAAGACGCGGACCGTCCCTTCCATGTGTACTAGCACTAGGCGCGCCATTTATCATAGTGTCGTGGTGGCCGGGGTAGACGCGCTACGCCTGCCTCATATCGGGCACATACAAACGAGCGGCGCAAAGAGGCGAGCCACTGCCAAGGTCGTTCCCGTCCTTTCCGATACGTCTCCTCTCCTTCTGCCCACTGACAACTCAGTCAGATTAAGATTCAATTGCGACCGGCGAGACGGGGCCTTCGCCACCGGCATCCCGCTCGTGCTCTACTTCCCGGGCGGGTCAGATTGACGAAACCCGCGCATTTTGTAGATCTACACCACCCACCACCCGCCTGGCGTCCTCAACTTTATCCTCACCCGTCGAAGCGTCGGGACTCGTAACCCACAAAGCCCAAGGGAGCAAGCCGACTACTCGTTCGTTCGTTCAAATGTTCGCATGCGTCGGGGACTCAACGACAACGGTACTGCCCCTGTGGGATACTCATGATCGACGCAGTCAATCCACCCACCCGCGACGATAGCTTGCCCCACGTCTGTTGCTCTGCATGCTGCATCCCATCCCATCTCCCATCTCGCCACGGCGGGGCTGTTCCGCGTACCCACTCTGAGAGGTATCCGGGTATAGCTGAACGCGAGAGGAGAGGAGAGGAGAGGAACGCCGCGATGTTATGGAGACCTCAGTGTCGACGCGTGGAATAGGGAAAGGGGTGGTCTCCCTTCGTCTCCTCTCCCTCCTTTGTCTCCCCCCGGACAAGGCCACGATGCATCACGCAAGGAGCTTGCCGCCTCCATGGTGTGATTGGCTTGATAGATACGATTGTCGATTATCGACTGTCGATTGGGCGCGTTGTGACGAGAGGGGGACGGGGAGGGAGGAGGGTAATGGAAAGGATATGCACGAGAGATTGGGCTGGAATCCCACGTCCGTACGCTTCCGACGCTCAAAGCCAGAGAACGCGGCGTTGACATGTACTTGCAGGTCGAGGCGGGCACGTCTGACGCGCATGGAGACTTGCCCCCCTCTATGCGCAGGATACATACGTACTCGTCATATTCCTACTCTCCGCACCTCCCTCGCCGCCACCCCTCCTCCTCCTTAGCCGTTTGCCTTGATAAGGATACCCATTTCGATCTCGCACCATGGTCATGTTCCTATGCACCTCCCTCCTCCCTCGACGCCATCTCCTCCTCCACCGAAGAGGCATTGGGGGTGCGCGTCTTGAGTACCCGCGGAGCCTCGTGCAAATGCACTGGACGGGCACAAGCCAGGTAATCGACGACGGGTACGGGTACGGGTACGGGTACGGGGGTACGGCATTGCATCCACCTGTCGCTGCTAGCCGCTGCATCCCCGACGCGTTCGTTTCGCGTGACGGTGGGGCTGTTCTGCGTGCCCATTGCGTGGACAGGTTGGGGTCTCTGAGTATCGGGAGGAGAGGAGAGCAGCGATAGACTAGAGACTTCGGACCGAGCGTGATGGTGTCGAGTGTCGGAATCTCAGGCAGCCGCGTGGTTTCTTTCGTCTCATCATCCCTACCCTCATCTCCTCCCTCTCCTTCGTTTTCCCTTTTGGGACAACAACACGATACACGACGCGACGAACTCAGCCGTCTCGCATGCAGGGAAGGAGAGGGAAGGAGACCCGATTTGGTTGGATGATACGGTGCGATTGTCGACCGGGAGGTGCTGTGACGGGACGGGGACATGGGACGGGGACGGGGGAACCGCAACGGATAGATACGCGAGGGGGCCGCCCATGTGCAGCGACATCCATGGGGAAGCTTCTGCTCGTCGCTCGTTTCATACGTCGCGTCGCTCGAGATTCAGAGAATGCGGCGTTGACTTGTCGAAGTCGAGGTGGGCACGTTGTCCGTCGTCCCGCCGCTCTCCGTCTCTTCGCTGCTAGACCGCTCCACGTACTCCCCGCTGCGACGTCAAGAATGAGGATTTGGCGAACTCGATAAGGCGCTGTGGGGGAGATTGCGGTGTCAGCTTGCTGGGCTGGTCGTGGAGGAGGGAAGGGGGTACCCGTCTTGCGGTGCGGCCGCAGTTTGGAATCGCAGTGTCCGTCTCGGTTTTGCTTTCTCTGTGTGAGCGGATATACCACGTATACCGGTGGACGTGCGATCGTATTCTTACCCTGCTTCGCGGCCACAACTCCTTGCGACGAGTTTGGGCTTAACATGCATATTACTCCCAGGCTCGCCACACGTTGTCTGGGACATCTTTATAATAATAAACTTTTCCTTTAAAAATTCGTTTAAAGAATCAACCTCAGTTCCATCACCAAAAAATGCTTTCAATTCAACTCAACTAGCCGCCACACTACGCAGTTAAAAATACTGCGAAGAATACGACACTCTCAACCTGGGAGTCGAACCCAGCTTTCGCGCGAAGCAAAGGAGATTTTGACAAGCGCGTGTACTCAACCGATATACTAGTCAAGATATCCACTAAGTGACTTCATTTGATTGATCACCGGAAGACTCGTTCATCTTCCTTTCCACAACTCGGCTCCTTTCAATTCCGTTATATACTCGAAACTTTTATCTTACATCCACACACGGCATCACGAATTTAGTTTGTGTTGCTATTTCGGAGACCTTTTAACGGAGCGTAGGATCGAGTTTCCAGACGAAGCGGGGGAGTGTTTTCCGCGTTGCTTGGCGGCATGATTGTCGAATACTTAGTCCAAGTTCAACCAATTCGTGTTACTCAAATTTTAATTGCACGTAGAGCATTGAAAGCGATGGCCATTATTCACTGCTTGGTAGCCTCGAACTCTGTTGGCACGTTGCCGTAGCCCGGTATCCCGGCGATATCCCGTTCGATTCGGGCTCGGGAAATGGGGGATGTGAGAATGATTTTTGTTTTTGTTTTGTTTTCGTTTTCGAGTTGTGTCTTTTCATTGCTAATTTTCGCATCCAATCTGCTGAGCTCTAGCCTCTCGTTGGGTTGCGCGGATGGAAACTGGGAGAGGGAGGAAGGGAGGAAGCCTGTGACATCAATGTTCAATTGTCTTGGAAGTTCAACTGGTACTTAGCACCAATGAACAACCAATGAAATTCGGACATGAATCTCATAGTGGCCTCGAATGCTACACACCACAGAGGGCAAAGTCGTTAGCAGGCAAGTACCCGTTCGATTCGGGGTCGGGGAATGCACATGGGATGTGAGAGTTCTTTTTTTCGTTTCTGTTTTTTTCAATTTCGCGTTTTTTGAATCTTTGAAAATTGGACCACACTACTTCTGAGAGCACGTTCAGTTTTTAATCAACTCAGCACAAAAGCCCAATTCGACAAAAGTTGGATGCATTCCTGTTAATCTCTACGACATACTTACATCGAAGTCGCCCTTGAGCTCACGCCCCAAAGAAATCAGCTACATACTTCGTATCAACAAACTCCTTCATATGAACAATTCCCACCCCGGAAAAACGAAGTGTTATCATATATTCGTTATTGTATCTCTTTCCCGATTTCGACGTCCCGTCTGACTTGACCTGTAAATTAACCAAAAATTAACATTAATACAGCTTATTTCAGTCTTCCGCGAGGATAGCGGCATGTCAAAGCGCACGTGGAATACCACCGCATTTTGACCTTGAATTATATCCAATGGCGGTAGAAACTGAGCGAGGTCAAGTTCCAATCAGATACTAATCCTCAGAAATTTACATGAAATAAAGATAGAACGAACCTGCATCCCGTCAATAACCTTCTCCCAAGCGTTCTTAAATAGCTGCACAGTCTCGTCCTTGCTCCGTTTGAATTTCCCTTCAGGTGGATTCAACGACGAAGGGAAATATTCGTGAGTGAAGTCCGCCGTCAAGAGGTCTGCCATCCCGTGGAAATTGTAAGCGTTCAAGCACGAGAAAAATGCTTGGGCATTCTCGAGTTGTTTTGCTTGGAGGGATTCAGCGGTCATGCTGACTGTCTGTGTGAGTAGAGAAGGGTGCACGTTTTATGCTCTGCCGGCGTTGATTCAATAGTCCACAAGTGTTTGCTGAGTAAATGGACGGGAGTAAGGAGATTGCGTGTCGAAGCGGCACTGATTAGGATGGGGATCCGAATTCTACAAATTGACCTTTCCAAGATCGAGGCCAACAGCCCACGATACATAGCTTTATTTTGAATCCAGACCTGGGAAGATCATTATCCTTGCGAGAGTAACCAAACGACCAACATCGAATACCGTCCACCACTCCTCAGATATTTCAATAAATGCACGCCCCAACCCTCGACTTCAATCCGCACCCTCATCTGCATGCCGACCGACACTCCTGTCATCAACCTCCGGAACGTTCCAAACAAACCACCTCGCACGCTCCCCTTCCCTCTTCCACTCTCGCCCTTTCACAAATTGCACACGACGCAACGCCGGGGTATATCTTTTCCATACCGCCAGATATTCCACACAGCTCTCTTCCTCAGGAATGACTGCCGGAACCCGCTGTTTCGAATCCTCAGTATATTCTTCGCCAGCAAGGGAGCGTCGAAAGTGCTTGGCAGGCGGTGAGGGCGGCGGGGCGGGCTCGGCATAGACGTGAAGCGTGTGCAGCTTAGCGAGGAGCGGGAGGTACTGTATACCGAGGTTAAAGAGGAAGTCCTGAAAGAGTTTGTCGGTCAATATCAAGACGAATGGAAGCCAAAGCAGCTCACATCCGATGGCTCAGAAAAATGGAAGAACAGCCTGATGTGCTGACAAGACGGAAGACGATGCAGAATCGCGAGCAGCACCTCGTCATCCCAGTCTTCTACCCCAAACTCGATCTCCTCGAGCGGCAATGCACTGCACGCCTCGATAAATACCAGCGCCTCCTGTGTTTTCTTGATGAACCCATTGATTATCCGAATAGACGAGAGATTGGTAGCAGATGGGAGGAGACAGATGGCGATATACAGCGAACCTGTGAACGAGCGAAGCAAGGGTACAGAAAGCTCAATCTGGTCTAGATGCTCGCCGGGTGCGTGAGGGTCGGGAAGCGTCTTCCCAACATTGACATGTAAGACGCGGAGGGTGCCGCCGAGGCGGGGGAGGTAGTACTTGACTAGCATCGCAATAACATGATCGTTGGAGGAGCAAGCAATGGAAAGCGAAGTGAGGCCCGGGAGCTGAGCCGCAGACACCGGGTGAAGATCTGTGTGCGTGAGCGCGACGACGTGGGGTAACGCGGCGAAGAGATATTCGTATAATGTGTGTGTGTGGAAGGAGGAGAACAAGGGCGTGACGTGGTTCATGGTGAGATGAGTGACTGGGGAGCTGGTAGGACCGGGTATGTTGGTGGGAGGACGGGCGAGGTGACAGGCGGTTAAGCTCAGATGGGTGAGACGAGGTAGACGGGGGAGAAGATTGTAAAACGAGTCCGTGAGGTAGCCGTAGATGATTGATAGAGTGTCCAAGTTTACGAAAATGGCCATTCGATTGACGATTTCTGTGATACGGTCCATTTCTATCGTATGAATAGGTGGTTAGCGTCGATCCTCTGCTCAGAAAGAGAATTGGACGTACGGCTGTAAGAATCTTTCGGCAAATTGAGCACGAGCTCCCTGGTCACGCTCCTCAACGCAACTTGCGTTTCAAGAAAGTCCATATGCGTCTCTGCCTTTTGCACAGAGGTCCACACCACTCTTTGGAGTAGCTCTGGGAGCGCGAGATCATGAAACCGGTGGCATGTAAGGATTACCGATTTGAGCGAGCGTCCCTCGCGTACGAAGGAGAATATGTGGATCCAGATCTCGTTTGGGGCGACAAAGCTCATGGTGAGCTGGGACAGGCTGGAAGAAGGAGAAAAAGCTTGAGCCAAGCCCCAGGCTCGATCATGATCGTGTTGCGAACTGATCCGAATCGGGTGAGAGTCGCGTGGCACGTGACGACCAAGCGAACGCAAAGAACGCGTTAAATCAGGTTAAATCAGAATAACTGTAAAAAGGAGATGGTAGCAAGTGCATTCATCATTCAGAAAGTACATTCGATTATGGTCACTAACTGCATTGCGATTGTTCACCGTGAATTTGTTTGTACTGCACATGCTGGACTAAGCCGACACAACTCCAGCAACCGGATATGTCGTATACCCTTCCACTGTATTCACATAATACTTGCTTCTATCGCCCTTTGTCAATGAAATATCGTTTAGAAGCCGCACCGGAAGGTCAGGCTGGTGAAACGTAGCCACATAAGTGAACGTCAAACCAATGGCATCTCCTTGAACCAAGGGGAAGCAAAAAATAGAACGTACATTAGCCAAAAACCCTCTCGCAAACGCCACCAGCTCCCCTCTTTCACCATGTTCTAAAGCCGACGCGCGTGTATGCCCGCCCGCAGAAATGAGTGGCTTCCCCTTCCATATCTCGCGAATAAAATCGTTCGAATGATGCGCATTCTGAGAGCTAAGTGCCGCCTGATCGGTCCCGGAGATGCGTGGCTCGATGACGTGCAGATACGCGAGATTCGGAAACTCATCGCGGAGGGTGCGGACGAGGTAGGTGAACGTCGGTATGGGGTCGTCCATTAGCATGCCTGCATTTGGTGCGCTAAGATCAAGCACAAAAGAAATGAGAACGAGACGGAACACACCTTGGAAAGTACTCCAAGGACTAATTCTCACTCCGACTTTATTCTCACCAATCGCCCTCGCGGTCTCTCTGACGATCTCTAAAATCAGACGAGCCCGATTCTCGATACTCCCGCCGTATTCGTCGGTTCGATCGTTGGACACGTCTTGGAGGAACGAGTCGACCAGGTATCCATTGGCACTTTCACATTCATTCAGTCGATGAGTCTCGTTGCCAGATGTTTGCAAGGACTTGCAACTCACCAATGCGCCTCAACCCCATCAAACCCCGCGCTCATCGCATTCTTCGCGGACTCCACAAAAAGCTGCACATACTCCTTCACCTCCGCCGTCGTCAGCTCCCTCGGAACGATACTCGATCCCGGGAGGGGAATCGCCGACGCGGAAACCAAGTCAAATTTACCGATATCGGGGTGGTCGAGGATTTCCGGCGTCGCAGCGCGTCCCATGCCGAATATTTGGCAGAATATAAACGAATTTTGAGAGTGAACGGCTTGGGTAACCTAAACGATTTCCTCCTCAGTTTATTGTCAAGAAAGAAAGAATGCATAGGATTTTGAACGAACCTCTTTCCAAGCAGCGGCCTGCTCCGCAGACCACATCCCCGGCCAAGCACCGTGAGCGACGCCTGTAAACCTACCAGCGTTTTCAGGGGTGAAGGGGATGTACACTCCTCCTCCCTTCTTCGCAAACACGGTGCCTGATATTCAAATATCTCAGCGAAAAGAAGCCTGGAAGTCGAATGCAAGTTGAAAATCTCACCCTCGCTAATTAACAACGTCCCCGGTGTGCTCGCCCTTTGCGTATAATACTCCTTCACAATGGGGAGTATCACACCCGTTTCGCCATCAACGCGAAAGCGGGTCATCG